GGTGATAGACGTGGTGGGAGATATTCATACCTTGTGGACATCTGAGTAGCTGTTGTTATGACGCGAGTAATGGTATCATAATCTTTGATTGTATCGCCAGTCATCATATTTTCATGTAGTAAACATTGAGCGGTTGAACACAATAAGTCGCTGTCGATAACGGGGAATCCTCTTGGTCTTCTTACTTGAGATCGGATTCAGACGCATTTTACATCTTAACATGCGGTGATCACTCCCCGTGTTAACACTAGTGAGCACTCCTACATCGACAACGCCCTTCATACTTCTCAACAATACATAATCAATCTCTTTCTTCAGTCCCAAGGCATCATTTCGCCATGTCCACCGATCGTCAAGTCTCTTTTTGAAGAACGAGTTAGCAAGAAATAGCTTTCTTTCCTCACAAAAGTCGGCCAACATTTGTCCACGGTGATTTCGAGCTCCTGAGGAATTGTTACCAATGTATCGCTCTTCATTACGGCGTAAACCAGGAGTTGCGTTGAAATCGCCCAGAATCACTTGGTGCTTACTTCTCCTGGCATCGAGAACATGAGCAAGATTGTCTAAGAACGCCTTCATTTATTCACTATCTTGAAAATCTGAATGTCGGAAGCGCCTGTCTTCAACTTGTAACGGATGACTGCTCCTATCGGCTATTTATGCAAAGCCTCAATCACTTCGTTCAGAATGAAAGAAAACAACTCGCCGTGTGTTGTATTCAACGCATACGCGCCACTATAATATCCTAGCACCTCTTTGCTCGCTTCCTCAGTACCACTATATATATAAAGAGTACCCACTTGAGAGGTCTATTCTTCCTTTGCCAGCCATTCGTGTCTCCGAGACTCCAATGACATCGAACTTGACATTCTCGACCGCGGCTTCGAAGTCGGCAAGTCTTGCCGCGGTGGCAATGGAACGGACATTCATGGTGCAAAATGCGCGAAGCGTTACTGCTCTTTTTGGCATACGGGTCCGCGCTAGCGCCAAGCTGCGTGTTAGCACCCCGGACCTTCTCTCCTTTCTCGGTGTTGAGTGAGCATCGATTGAGAGGAGGGTGAGCCTCGACGCTCATGCCTTGAATAAGCAGGAGATGTGAGATCACAGTCGTCTGCTATCAACAAACTACATTGAAGTTTGATAACCATAGATAAACAGGAGCTCACTCTATCAGATAAATATGAGAAACAAAGAGCAGAGGCGTGAATATCAGCAAAGAATAAATAACATCTTAAAGTTGCCTGAGTCGTACAACTGCTAGCGCCCACGCCTGCCAGCGCTACGATCTGTTAGTAAAGCAGAACAGAACTCAATGTAGTCATGGAACACATTGACCGATAAGCAGCAGCATGAAGTTAATAAGCAACAGCATGAAACCTTATAAGCGGCACATGAAATTAAGTTGTAGAGAAATGAACTAAGAGGGAAGAGCGGGGAGGGGAATGGGAACGAGGAGGCGTTGGAAACTTGATGGTGCAGAGCAGTGGCCCACCAACACTGCAAGTCGCGAGAAGAGCAGAGCGGCTCCGGATACCATCTTAGCAGGTCCGTCAACTCCACCAAGGTCCATCTAGTGTCGCGCCGAACGTGGTGCGTATGTAGGGGTAAGGGGTAAAAGGAGTGGCTATAATATACCAAGCGTCGTTTTCACGGATTCTGAGAATGCGGAGGCTAAGATCAGTATACGTGGCATTGTGCTCAATTACCCCGTCATTCCGTGCGAGAAAGTTCTGGGGTGCCCTACATGTGCGAAGTGTCTTTTTTTCATTGACTACTACCACTACTGTCTAATACAGTCAGTGTGGGATACAATGCTGAGGCGGTTTTTGTTTTTATTGAGTTTTTCAGCAACACGTTCTACAAATGTAAAAATGGCTATCCATTTTTCGAATCAATAAATGGGTCCGATATAATGGCGGAAAAAGAGCTAGACCAGGTATGCGAATCGCTTTGAAGGAAGGTGACCGATCGTTACCTTCCCTCTACCCCATAAACTACCCCTTTTGAATTTATTTCCCTGAAAATTAGTCAACTCGGGCACAGAGAACAGTGAGCTCTCTAGTAACTAAACCAGACTACACTATACCATGCCATGCCACACTACATACCATACCACTGTGCGCTGTTCGGCTTAGAGGGGGGGGGGGGCAGGGAGCGTTTTGCACTTTCTCCAGTTTCTGTTGAACAGGGAGTCCTGCCGCTCAGGGGAAGTTTTTGAGAATACGACCGACCCTACCAAGTTTTTTCCTGTCCTTAAAACACACTATCAACAGCGAGACGGAGGGTTCATCCCATACGTGGAACGGGAAAATTTACGAAAGATTGAGCAACGAACCTTCGTCCCTGGTGACCACGGTACACCTACTCGAAAGCCAAATGAACCTTCGCTTTCTTCTCGACGAGCAAATATGATCCCCTGCTACAAGATTTCTCCCAGCGAGGTAGATAGCACAGCAGAACGATTCAAATAGCAAATACCAAATGAAATTTTCTCGATTCCCCGATAGAGACTTCCCTGTCCCTGGATGTCCTACTCATCACCATCGGTATACAGTGCTTCACTATACTATACAATACAGTACTATATTATACCACAATGCACTAAACTGTACTGTACTAATTATACGACATACTAGAAAAGAATATAAAGCGAACCAGTCGGATCACCCGGCTGACGTCGGGTGTTCCACCTTCTGATTCACGGCCCGGCTTCGCCGGGCACTCTTGTAGTATGCGCTAGCGTGAGTAGGCCGCACCATCTCACTAAGAATCGCAGTTAGCGATATCAGAATGGGTAAAGTGAATTAGTCCAGATGAGTCCTTAACACCCGGAAGAGGCATAACTGCAGAGTCATGGGTGGCACTGAAAAGGAGAACTTCACATTGCTTGCTTGTAGATGTCAAAGTGTGTGTCGCACGGAGAATTTTACCACTGACAGGACGTCCCACTCCCAGTTGTTGGTTTCCCTCCTTATTGGCTTCACTTGGGACCGCCGTCTCCTGATAGATCACATAGCAAGCAGACTTACTAATTTTGTTGATTGATGAATTTCTTGATTGTCCTGTTTCAGCCGCACTATATACCCCCCCCCCCCCTTCCCCCCTCCGCTCGACACCTATTGTAGTCGACACAGGCTTTGCGTCCCTAGCGGCGTCTCGAATGTTTTCTCCGCTAAGCGCCCATACCGCGACGCTTACCATAAACGCGACCCTCCAAAAATTGTCGTGTGGAAGTCAGTATCGTACTACTCTAAAGTACATATCTTTTCGTTTACTACAGTAACTTCTATCCGTCATCTATCTATCACCAATCTCCGCCCAACTTTCCAGCAATTCTCCCAGTCACGGCGACACGGCTTAGCACGACAAATACAGAACTTTCACGTGGATGCGAAACTTATCAACTTAGTAAATTCACAAATCACCAGATTTGCAGTGAGTTCAACAACGGTTTTCTCTGAGAGACCAGGGATATGGTATCCCGAAATCACCCACAAACTACTTTTGAGAAACTTATAACGAAGTAAAATGAGCTTTAGGCTTATTTAACACTAATTCGCAATCCCTATTCGAAAAACCGCCAAGGCTATGACAGATTTCCCGTTCGTAAGTCTTTTGATCGCTCATCGTTTTGGCCCAAAGTATGCAGTGAACCCATCAGATTCTTCTCATCAACGAGTTTTTAAACAACATATTTAGTCAAAACAATTTTGGATGATATTGGCAATGTTATTGAGCTTGCTGACAATGTCCTCCAGGATCTAAACAGTTCTGTCACAAATGTATGTTGGTTTTTTCTTCAACAGTACAAAAAACTGTTTTGGACCATCACATTCTCCAATGAAGAATGGATAGCCGCCTGAAAATCGATTTGCAGAATAACGTTCAGAGTCGCGACGTACCATTGCGTGGCACTGCAGAGCTCTGGGCAGGATCGCAGCCATGGATGGTTATCGATCGGCGCCAGCTTCGAGTGTTTTGAGAGAGTGCAGAAGAATAGGAGTTTACCAGAGTGTGGTTAGGCGGCGCGACCCTCCTACTCTTATGATCCCTCAAAACATTAGCGGCCAGCATTGATCAGGGCACAGCATTCGATGGGGATTTTGGTCGAGCTTTTACGACCCCCCCCCTTTTTTCAGGGGCTGGTACGACCCCCCCCATGCTCGTACGATGGCTGACATGGCTGACTGTGGTTGTGGTTTATACTCGGCGAAAAAGTTGTCGAGCGGGGGGTATGTAGTAAGCAGTGCGACGTACATGGTACGGGCGTACATACTAGCTATAACACAGTAAATTCATAAAAATCCACCAAGTGAACCACATAATTCCTAGCCAGAAATACGACCCCCCTCCCCACAACGACCAAATTACGACCCCCCCTCCAAAACGTCCGCAAAGCGAGAAAAATCAACTATAAAAATAAATTTTTCCCAGCCCAAATACGACCCCCCCTTTTGGCGGCCAAATACGACCCCCCCCCCATAGGGGGGAATCCCCAACCAATGCTGTGCCCCTGGCATTGATCGATACCCTTACCCATGTTTGCGCTCTTCTACAGCAGCGTTACTGCAAAGGTATCGACGCGCGTCATCGCCAAGTCTGAACCCTGCCTAGGATCATTGTTCATAAATTCTCCAAGAAGTTTCTCTCGAATGTTCGCCTGTTTCTATACTGAGGGTTCAAATCCCTCTTATCGAATGGAGTTGTTTCGAAAGTGCAAGAGTATACAACCCTCCCCTCTTTCTTGCATATCCACGACGAGAGGTGTGCGCCAATTGCGCCACTCCACAGGTGAAGCAAGCATGCCAGAGGCTTAAAATAAAGAGCTGTGCCCGCTTTTTTAGGGTAGTGGACGCCCACTTCAAAAGTCGCCCTGAAGCTAGCGGTCAAACTTCTTTGCTTTCTCTCTCGCTGTTTGTCGTTTCATCTCTCCTATGAGCGCACAGTGTCTAGCCGCTTTTCTATGTATTCTAAAGACACAATCGACGATAAGCGATGGGCGGTAGATGATAATCGATGTGCTTGGCTCAATAATCGTCCTTCTTATACCCTAAGGAGGAAGGGCACATCAGCGAGTGAGGTTAAGGTAGATTCGGTCTTTGCCCTTTTCCCCACCTACCTGACTGTCGCGGAATATGTCTTCAAGCTGTACTCTTGCTTTTTATAATATCGAAATAATTTCCACAGATTTCGAATACGGCGACTCCAGAATCACGAGATGAAATGTCGAGCTCATTCTCCGTGCAAGTCCATCTTTTGCATTCATCGTTCCTGGCCGCTTTCTCGGACATTTTCGTGGGTTTTTTCTTCCTATAGAATATTTTTTGTTAGAAACGGAAAGGCACGCTGTTGAACTTTGAGAAACGTTGTGCGAAAGGCTGCCATCATACTTTGCGGCACCCTCCATCAGTGACCAGCAAGGTCTAATAGCGACCGCAGCGTTCGAAGCGTGTGAGCGTCAGTGACTAGGAAAGTAGAGATGTCGATCTAGCGACCACCAGGGTCTACCAGCGTCCGTCAGCGACCATCAGCGTCCAGGAGTGGAGAGTGTGAAGCGAGAGGACGCCGGTGGACGCTGGTGGACGCTGCTGGTTGTTATATCGGTATCTATATTTCCTAGTCGCTGACGCTGCCGGACGCTTGAGACGGTAGTGGTCTTTGGTGGACGCTGCCCCAAAGTATGAACGCAGCCCACAATTCCCATTCCAGGCGACTCATCTAGGACAGGGGTTACTCCGCGGCGGCGTGATTGTGTCACACCATGTTATGTCATGAAATGACTTGTTTTGCCGCCGTCACTGCCTTACTACGCCTTTTCGAACCTGGTCATATAAGCCGCGTTCCTGAT